TTTAATAAATTTAATTGTTATACATAACACATAATTTTTAAACATACTGAGTAAGTTCTAAAGTTGCTTTACGACTAAATGTCCATTCAATACTTTCTCTTTTATCAGTAGGTATATCTTTTGGATCTTCATATCCCAAGAAATATAAGGAAAACTTCATTTCGGGAAAATCAAGTTTCTGTAATAACTGCATACCAAGTACTTCAGTATAGAAAGGTAATGATTTTCGTGGATCTTTAATACGATACATTGTTTGTTGCATTATATAACCATTTGTTGCTGGATCAGCCTTCTTACAAAGTTCACGTGCTTCACAATTTGTTAATCCTGTATGTTCACCCATCTAAAAAAATTATCATATTTATTTAAGTATTATATTATGATTTACTAATAAAATTATATAAAATATCAATAAAATTATATAAAAAAAATTTACAGTTAAATTTATCTTTTAATTTTATCAATCTATAAGATAAAATATTATCAACAAGGACATTATTCATTTTTGAAAATATTTTTACAAAATAAGGATTAGAAAATTAATAAAAAATTAAAATAGAATAAAAAAAGCAAAAAAATTATTTTAATATATAAAAATTATATAGGTTAAATAACAAGTATATAAAATTTAGTAAAACAAATTTATTATATCAATAATGACATAATATTTATTATATATCTATAATTATTTATTATTATATATACATTATTTTTTTTTATTCTTACCTTTTGGAAAATAATAAATATGACCGATAGTTATATATTACATACAAAGCGGAAGTGTGCGAAGAATTGCGTGATCTATTCACAATCACAATCTCTACAAAAAGTGGAATATCTTTTATTGAGTATAACGTTCATATATATAATATGTAGTTGTGTTGTGCAGTCTACTTTACCACTTCGATTTCCCTTATCTGTCAAATCGTGTAAATTATATTGAAGTACACAAATAATATTAAAAAAAACAGTTTAATTTATATCATTAACAAAATGGCTCATTGGTTTCATCGTAATGTACTAAAAGCTACGACAAATCAAAAATTCGAATTAAAAATAAGTAATCCTACTGATGCTACAAAAAAATTATGCAGGTTAGCTATATTTATTAAGAAAATAAATTAAATGTATTTAATTTTATGGTCAATAATTATTTTAAACGTTATTATTCTATAAAATTTATTTAAAATAATAAGTAATATGTAAATGATAAAATAAATAATCATATTACAAGAAAAATTATATTTCAATTAGAATTTTTTTTATTATAGTGATCTGAGGTTATCAAGAAATCGCCTTTTGGATTTGATCAAAAATCCAAATAATTCAAGTGATACTATAGAACCGGCTTTTCATAGCTATTTAAGTTTATTATATGGATTTATATGGGAAATAAATTCTGATGTAGAAAAATCTGAACATGTTGGTAGGCCAAATCCAAGCAAACTTAGAAATGTTATTGTATATAAATGGACACATACATTGTTGGGACCAAATACTTAGTAATATATTTTTTTACATCTATTTAATTTAAATAAAAAAAAAATAGTTTTACTTTATATATTACTATATTCTGAAAAAAAAATTCTTTAAAATATTTATTATAGTTCTAGTGCTGATTCTGTATATGAAGCAGCTAATATAAGCATGAATGTAGGACTTTGGTTTATGAAACATGCTGCAATGATTGCTGCTAAAGATGAGTAAGTATAAATAATAAACTATAAAATAATTAGAAATATGAAATAAATAATATTATATGGAAATATCATTTTTTGATGATAATTAATTAAATAATTTAATTTAGTATAAATATGAATGAAGCAAAAGATGTACATACTCTGCTAAGACGGGCTGCAGGAATATTTACTTTTGTACAAACAGAATTTTTGCCACAATTGGCAAATCCTCCACCATTAGGAAGTGATTTAGATCCAAGAATAATAAATGCATATGTCAATCAATGTACAGCAGAAGCACAGGAAGGTTGTATAATATATTATTTTAATTATATAATACATTTATGATATATATAGAAAATATAACATATAACATACAAAATTGTTTTAAATTAATGATCTAAATATTAATAAATATATAATTTTATATACATTATGTTTCAGTGACAGTGGCTAGAGCAGTAGAATTAAAACATAATGCTAATTTAATATCAGCATTAGCTAATGAAACAAGTAAATTATTTTTGGATGCTGCTAATACTTTACGTTCATTTAAATCAGAGATATCAGCACAGTGGATTAAATATTTAGAACTTAAGGCAGCATTTTATCAGTCTTATGTAAGGAAGTTATTAAAAAATATAAAAAATATTTAAAAATTAAAATTTCTTAAATAATTAAAATTATTTATGTGTTATAGTTATATATGTGTAATTGTTATTTATATAATTAAATATGTTATAGGCTTATAATTATTGTGGCGAAAATTTATTATCTATGGATAAATGTGGAGAAGCAATTAAAGCCTTACAAGAAAGTGAAGCTTGTTTGAAAAAAGCAAAAATATTATGTGAAGAGTATGGAAAAATAAATGGACCAGCACCTAAAGTGAAACCAGATCAACATGCTGTATTTAAACGTTTAGCACCTATAGTAAAACTTACTCTTGATAAATGTAATCGTGAAAATGGTTTAATGTAAGTATCATATTAGATTGAAAAAAAATTTTAAAAACAAATTTAATTTTAAATTATATACTTTTAAAGTTATCATCATACAATACCAGGAGAGATTCCAACATTAGATACAAAAGCTACTTTTGGCTTAGTAAGTCCTATTGATTTCCAAATGCAATCACATAACTCTATATGGAATTTAAATGTATATGGATCATTATTTGGATTAACTCCTGCAAAAACAGAAAAAGAACAAAATTTACCCCCTGTTAAAGAAGATTCAATTCATCAAAGTACCAAAGATCCAAAGAATGCAAGTGGATGTTTGTTGCAGTAAATAGTTTTATGCAGAATTGCAATAAATGGTAAATTAAATTCATTGACTTTATTATCATTATGAGATACTATACGGAATATTTTACATTTTTTGATAATTTTGTTCCATGCTTGATAATGTTTTACAAGTAAAAATAAAACTAAAATATATAATAAATATCTAATATATAATAAATATATATGAATACTTTGTTAAGAAGTTATAATAAAAATATGAAATAAATAATATAAATACTATAAATATATAAATGTATACATTTCATATATTTGCTCATAAATATTAGTGAACACTATGCAATATGATACACTTTATTAGGAAATATTTCGAAATATTTTTAACAAGAATAAAATTTTTGACACATAAACATATATAAAATGCATTATATATTTATGATTAGAGTAAATAAAAAAAATATTATATAATATAATAATATAAAAGTAAATATTTTTGATATTTTGAAAATTATTTTACCATACAAGGCAAAACAAAATTAAAATTAACTTCATAGTATAATGTATAATTTACCATCATACAGAATCAATATTACAAAAACAGTAAACATATTTAATATCTACAGTTAATATAAATATTACATATTAAATATTAAATATTACATCTCATTTTAGTCTGTATTGAACTGAAGAAAATAGTATTATTTTTAGTAGTATTTTTATATATTTCATATTTTTTGTTAATTTCTTAATAAAGCATTTATAGATTTTTTTAATCTTATTTTATTTTTAACATATACTGCTAAAGTATGTATGGAAAAATGTAAAATTGTATAATTCTCAAACAATAATTATTTTTAAATATTTATATACATAATATTTAGTAAAATGCAAATTAACAATATAATATTAAATGAGCATTTAAATGTTTTTATTTATGTATCAAATAATATAACTAGTCTTAATTTTTAATTAAAAACACGAATTAAATTATTAACAAATTATAATATTTTTATATATATAAAAAATCATTTTTATTTGATGTATTTTTAATATCTTTATTTTATTTTATTAATGTTAATTGATTAAAATTTTCATTTGTGCAATTTAAAATATAAAATATACATACATGATACATATATGAATTTATATATTTTATATTGAATACATAAGATATTTGTATCTAATTGATAATATGAAAAATATTAAAATTTATTATTATTTTGATGAATTTGATGAATGATGAATTTTGGATATTTTTTGAATTTTGAATCTAATCAATATCTTTTGAAAGTTTCATATAATAACAAAAAATATTTTTAAAATATTTATATTATAACTGTTTTTCTATAAAATTTTAAAATATTTTTCATAAGATTTATTTTTTCATATCTTATGTACCTACAATGTATGAATATTGTATAGAATTAAATATAATTTTATTTTGTATATTTAAAATTATTTAAACTTCGAAATTGTTTATTTTATTTATTAAAAAAAAAAGATGCAATTATTATATTATATATTAATTATTATATTATATTATATATAATAATATTCGTAATATATTATATTTATTTTTAATTTTTGTATGTATATATATGATTTATATAAATTTAATGTGTTATATAATATAAAATATAATCTATATGTACATTAAAATTTAATCAATCTTATCTAATTATATATATAAACAATAATCTAAACTGAATTTATTTTTCAAATATAATTATAATAGAAATTTTCAATTATAATTATAAATTAAAATCCATAAAACAAATATATCATACAAAAATGATATCAGGATTTAATCTTTTATGTCCTTATGTAATGTTTTTTCCTTTATTTCTTATATAATATATATAATATTTATCCTTCATATATGCAAGAAATAAATTCAAAATCTGATTTTTATTTGATTTTGATTTTGAATCTTAAAAATAATTTGATTTTATGAAAAAAATTTTTCAAACATCGCGCTGTGTTTGCCGAATGTTACATTTGTCATGCGCATTAAAAAATAAAATCTATACTAACTTCTCAAGACATGATATAGTCAGCATATATCAGTGATTCCACTCATTGTCTGTTCTTCTACTCAAATCGCATTCTTTAGTGTTACTTTATGATATAAAGAGAGTAACGTGCGTGAGGATGTAGTTTTCTTTCTATACTTACATATTAATTATACATTCACGTTCTACTGCAGTGTCAGTAACTGTGAAATAAATCTCAAATTTTTATATAATTTTCATAATAATTACAAAATTTTTTAAAATATTGGAGTTATATGTTGTGTTTAAGATTACTTACAAATAGTGAAAGTTGTTCGTGTCTTTGACCTAATTCAATTTTTTATGTCTCTTGGACATAATATTTATTACATTCCAAAATAAGATAGAAATTTATAATAATTATTGATTAATAATAATTATTATTGATAATATTGTATAATTAATAATTAATAATATAAAAAAAGAAATAATTTAAATTGCGATAATGACGAGTATGGATACACGTGACGTAATCCGAGTTGGATCTCGAAAAAGCGAGGTAAATATACAAATAAATTAATTTTTTACAAAAAAAGTATAATTATATAATATATTTTTCTAATTCATTATTAATTAACACTATAATTTTTATAATTTTATGATTAGACGTGACAATTAGATAAATATACACTATGATAATTTTTAAGAATATAAAAAGAAAAAAAATATTTTTTCTATAATTATAGTATAAAATATATAAATTTTCTTTATTTTATTTAAAAAATAGTAAATCATATTTTATTTATAAATAATATATGATTTGTATAATGATGATAGATAATTATTATTCTACATTAGTCAGCAATTTTGATATTGCATCTATTATTTTTTATTCAAAAAAGCAAATTTTCATTTCATATATAATAAATATTACATGATTTCCTGTAATATAATAATTATAATGTTTTATAAAAAAATATAGTAAAATAATATTTTTTAATAATATAAAATTTTTTAATAATATGTATATACATTTTGTAATATATTTTAATAATTTTTTAGTTGGCTCTGAAGCAAACAAAATATGTAATAGAATGTTTAAAAGAATATCATCCAACAAAAGAATTTCAAATAAGTAAGTAAACTATACTTAAAATTTATTCATTTAAAATTAAAATTTATTTTAAAAAATTGACTTTATCATATTATTAATTACTAATTATTTGTTTATTATAATTATTTAATATAATATTTTATATATCATTAATATACATGTTTTTTATTATATAATTGTCAATAAATAATAATATATAAATATTCTTATGTAATAAACTATGTATATAATATTTAAACTTATATAACAAATACCTTTATAATTTTTTGAATGTATATTTATATTAAAATTTTTTAAATTTTTAATAATTTTTGAATACAAAATTATAAAAATATATTAATTTTTAGTTACAATGTCTACCAAAGGAGATAAAATTTTAGATAAATCTTTACCCAAAATTGGAGAAAAATCTCTATTTACAGAAGAATTAGAACTTGCCCTTGAAAGTGGACGTGTTGATTTTGTGGTACATTCATTAAAAGATTTACCTACATCATTACCAGAAGGAATGGCTTTAGGTGCAATATTAAAGTGAGTATAAAACTAAATTATAAAATTATAAAGTAAGTTAATACAAATATAATATTTTATTCTTATTTTAAAATGGTGATTTGTATATCTAAAATTTAATTTATAATAAAATTATTTTATCTAAATTTTATTAAATATAGAATACTTATATACATTTTTACTTTATCTTAATATTTATTTTTTTTACCTAAAAAAATTAAAAACCAAAGAGCAAAGTTATATTATAAATTTGAAAAAAAAAATAACTAAAAAAGAAATATATTAAAAATTATTTTTAAATTATTTAATTAAATATTACTTTTTATTTCAATAAAAGATATTTATTAAATCTCAAGGAAATCTTTTAAAAAATAAAATGATTAAACGATTAAACTATGAAAAAACTATTATATTTAATTGCTCTAATTAAAAAAAATATTTTTATAAATATTAATATAAAATTTATAATTAATAATTTAAAATTAATAGCTAAGATTTTAGTTTAATTCTTATTAAAATAATTAAAAAATTGTATAGTTATTGGTAATCATTATCAATGATAGGAATATTAATAATTTATATGGAAATTGTGTTATATTGTGTTATACAAGAACTATTGCAAAATATATTAAAACTATGTTTTCAAAGTAGTATGTTATAAGATTTAAATTAAATATTTAGATGAGAATATAATATAATAATATTTTTATAAATTTTTTAATAAATTTTTAATAAATTTTATTTAAAAATTGATAAGTATATTTAATATAAATATTTTTATAGGCGCGAAGATCCACGTGATGCAGTTGTTATGTCTAAAAAGTATAAAAATAAGACATTATCTACTTTACCAGAAGGTAGTGTCATTGGTACTAGTTCATTACGTAGATCAGCTCAATTAGCTAGAAATATGCCACATTTAAAAGTGGAAAATATTCGTGGTAATTTAAATACTAGATTAAGAAAACTAGATGATGAAAATGGACCCTTTGCAGCAATTATTTTAGCTGCTGCTGGTTTAAAAAGAATGAATTGGGAAAATAGAATAAATCAAGTAATTTTCATTACAAGTTTATACAAAATTCTTATATAAATTTTTTTTATTTTTCTTTTCTTTTTAACATCCATAGCTATTAGAACCAGAAGAAGCATTGTATGCTGTTGGACAAGGTGCATTAGGAGTAGAATGCAGAGAGACAGATTGGAAAATATTGTCTCTTTTAGAACCATTATATGATGTAGAAACAACTTTAAGATGTGTATGTGAACGTTCATTTCTGAAAACATTAGGTGGAGGATGTTCAGCACCAGTTGCTGTTTCTTCAACCTTAAAAAACAAAATTCTTACTATTACTGGTGCTGTATGGTCTTTAGATGGACAAAAATTTATCAAAGATACTTCTAAAAGTAAATTGTACATACCTGATGATGATGGAGAACCTCCGAAGTAAGTAAATATAATTAAAATTTTATAAATAAAATTAGTACACAAATATTCATATAATGTTTACAACAGGAAATGTCCGTATCGAGAACCGCAACTTTACTGTAGTGTCGCACCTGGCAAAGTAAGCAATTTAAGTCTTTTGGGTGCTGAACAACTCGGTAAAGATCTTGGAAAAAATCTTATAGAAAAAAATGCTTTAGATGTTATGGCAGAAGCAAGAAATGAAATTTTGAACTCCAAATAACATTAATAATAGTTATGAAAAAATATAAAAATTAGTCTTTCTTGATGATGAAAACAAATTTTAGGAATTCACATTTAGAGATCTTTAATATTTTCATAATTAATTAATATGAAAAAAGTACAAAAAATGACTTATAAAAATTCTAGTTCATTTTATCACAATTTAAAATTATTATTTATTACATCGTTTAATTTACAATCTTTATTTTAATAAGAATATTTATAATATATTCTGATTTTATTCCATTATTGCTTCATAAATTGTATACAGACTTTTATATATATATATATATATATATATATATATATATATATATATATAATTAATA